TGCCGAAGTTGCAGGAATAGAGAGCATAGGCGAAATAATTTTAAGTAAATTTGGTAAGTCTTTCTAAGTATTTTTACAAATAATGCCATTTTTGATCTCTGGACCCTTTGTTTTACAGTGATGCTTTCCATTTCCAGACTACCTATCACGTACGAGCATGATTTTTAAATTGTACCAAACTCAAATACATTGTTTGTTGGTCCAAATAATGAGACACGTATTTTTTCTTATGCCTCGGAAAAATTTTTCGGACGAATTAAACGCGATTTTGTTTTTCAGGCAAAAATCGATTATTCGAATTGACAGTGAAATTTTTTTTTTAAATGCCCATAATTTGTCAAAATTTAATAGATTCCAACAATGTTTTTACTCGAATGTCAGTAATTCTTGTCACTTCAAGATAGAATGATATAATTATTGATTTTCATTGTTTAAAATTTTTTATTTAACAATAAACAAAAAGTGCAATTTTTTTTTTAAATTTAATTTCTCAAAAAGTGTATTTTTTTCTCTCAAACTTTTTTACCGGGAAAGAGACACTTTGAACTACAATCAACCCAAATCTCTAATAATTTATGATTTTTTATAGAAAATATTGGTTTTTGTGGTACATACTACAATATTCTTATATTGTTTAACTAAATGGAACATATGTATGTAATATATCAGCAAAAAGTACAGCCGTGATAATTTTTTTTGTATCAAATAGATATTAGAACACACTTTCCACCATACAGTTTCGATTATAAAAAGCGGGAAAATGTGATTTTGTATTACTGAAATATATTAATATTTATAATTGAAAAAATGTAATATTTTTATATACTTGGGCAATTCACAAGGTGTCGTATTTGTCGTGTTTGTCGTGAAGTCATGATATTTCATGACAGTTGTAAAAATGTTGTTATTGTTTTGTGAAGAAAAATAACACATGACGATACAACTCTGCAACCTATGTTTATTCGGTGTTATGTGAGGTTAAGTGCTGAGATATAATAAATAATCGTAACAGGTGTTCACAACCGTCGTGTTTTAACACAACTTTTGTTAGGAAAATATAACTTCACAACACCTTGTGAATTGCCCAACTATATTTTTTTCCAACAGTATATAGTACGCAAACCCATAAAATAGTACAATTCTATATATTATAGTACGGTTGGCAACCCTAGCGTCTACTTAGGCTTGCGGATAGGTGTAAATTCTAGACAAAAAAAAACTTATTTAAAACAAATTTCTCACTGAAAAAATATTTATCCACACCGAAAGATTATACAAAAAGCTTTATGTCGCGTTAGCCGGGTGTTTTTTGTTTAACCGGCATCAACATATGTATATTACCCGGGTACCCGGGCAAATCGGGTAATACCGGGTAGTTTCACTCGAATGATTTTGGCCGCCATGTTAGCCATTTTACTTTAGCTGACATCTCTATCAAAATCAAGCTACCAGCCACAAAAAAAAAAATATTTTTCAACTGCCGTTCAAAAAAACAGATGGGTCATTCCATTGAAGAAAGGAAAAGGACTTACATTTAAATATGCCCTAATTATCTCTATTCCAGTAGTAACTTCTTTTTACATGATTACATTTCATTAACCTGTAGTAAAATATTAAAAAAGCCAAAAGAAGTTGTAATTTTTGTCTATGGAAACTTTTATTTCATTCATAATTACTTTACAGCAGTCACAAGGAGATGTCCCACCAGTCACCATTTTAAATATTTTTTAATATTTCTATGAAGATATGATCTCATTTTTATTGAAAACGAAAGCGTATAATTCATATTTTGCAACACAAACACATCGCTGGTGAAAATTAAGTGTTTTGGCTAAAATTCATCTTTGGGCGCACAAGGGTAAAATAGAGTTATTTTCAGTGTCCCACCCGTCAAATTCATTCAAATGAACTAAGAATGGTATTTTTGTCAAAACAAAAATAATATTAAGAAATTTTTGGAAAATGGGTGTGACCCCGTCCCCTTATGATGAAGTGCTGTATGTAAATATGCTTCTCCAATCCTTACCAAACTCGATACGGGCCTTTCTGGGGCTTATCAGCTAAGTAATTCACTAAAAATCGATTATTGCAATAACCATTTAGCAGAAAATTAGATTATAAATTGTTCGATAATGGGTGTGGCGCCGCCGACTTATGACGACAAATATGTATTCCGGTAACCGATTTATCAATTTCTACCAAACTCGGTGCACTCAATAATCTTGGTGCGGAAAAACAATTCGTTGAAAATCATTAAAATTGGACTAAAACTTCACCCGCCTCCCTTGTAAAGGTAAATTTCAGAAATTCGAAAATTCCGATATTTAAATAACTGAGGACGCTAATTTACTCCAACAACCTCTCAACAATAAATAAAACTGTTAAAAGACTTTTAGGAATTGAGCGTGGCATACAAAGGTTTATCTCGATAACCGCTTTATCGATTTCTACCAAACTCAATTATTTGATTAGGTCTAACTCAGCATATTATCGAAAGCGTTTGAAATTAAAAGCAACGTTTTTTTTTTTGGTGAAATGACGTTTTTTTTGGTAAAATGACGATTTTTAAGCGGAAGCTTTCGGCAACGCTAGTTACTACACAATCATAGGTGCTTTTTGGGAACATCAGGTCTGCAGACTCCTTTTTCTAGACTTCAACGGGGATCATCATCTATGTGCAGAGTGTGAAACGCTAGCCTCAAAACAAACCGTGGTATTAAGCTCAATAAGCTTGTTGAAATAAATACAACCACACCTCAATATTAATAACAACATAGTACAATAGTTTATGATTAATATGCTGTGTCAAATAAAAATACTCTTTTTCTTGGGTCCCATATATGTAGGTGTTTCCATGATGTCGGATGTGACATTCGTACGACTTTATAGTTAAATAAATCATTTGAACATGGAGGTCACCTATAAAAAAAAAGTTTGCCGTTGTTAAGCTTTTGTACCGTCCTTGAGTTGACAACCCCAAATAGGAAAATCGATGAAAAAGTGCGATGAACGGATATGGATTTGTGTTTCTTTAGTCTATTATCGGGCGGTTGAGAGACACTTTGAGAGGGTATTTTTTGCTGCTCACTAGTCCTAAGTCGCCTACTATTTTTCCGGCCGAGGTTGTGAAAACTGTTAAACTGCCAAAAAAAAAGAGGAAGAATTTTAAACACTCAAATTTTAACTAATAAATATGTTCATGTTATCTGTTATTCTATTGTTAAGTGAAAAAACATCAAATGAACCATTAGTTTAACGTAATTGTGTTCGCTGTCGCTCAAATCTTAACTTTATAAGTTTGTGCAATTTGACGTTTGACGGAAATTTGTGTTTTGCGTTCCCGTGGTTTTAGGGCAGTTTATTGACTTTGTGAGAGCATTTGGTACTCATTTCGCTAAGAAGGTTTACTGTCGGAATACATTTTTGAAACGGGCTGCCACCTTTCTATTGAATTAATACACCTTTGAAGAAAGGGCGCGATATGTAGACTCGAGTTATAGGATTATAAATTAAATTTCCAGGAAAAAGGCGATACTCTACCTACTCTTTAAACACCTTCGAAAATATGTATATTAAATAGCCTAGCATCCATATTTATGAAAAATATAGAATGCTTCATAAATCGCAGGTTTGGTTAGAAGTATCCTTTCATAAAACTCTTTAAAAATCTCTTTAATTTTTTTTATGAATGAGCCATACGAGTTTTGGGAGGGAGTAACGAACACAAAAATACTTTAAGGGGCAGTGAAGCACGCCGGGTATTTTCTTGTAATAAATAAATAACCGAGTAGCCCGTTCAATTTTAGTATAAAAAATACAAGTTTGAGGAAGCTATGACTTACCGCTGATTTTGAGCAATTTTTTTGTTGAAGCCTATTTTCTTCCATATAAAAAAATTGTCGAACATGCTTTGCCAAAAAAAAGGTAAGTATAGAGCTACCTTAAACATGTACTTAGGCCCCTATTATGGTTATGGTCAACTTAGTTGAGTTGTGTTTGAGACAACTCAACTATTTATTGCTATTGCCGTTCGCAACTGGTTTTCAGTTGACTGTGGCCATCGGAAGATTTGGAGATTCGATACAAATTTGATATTTTAATACTATTATGTTATTTTAATGATATTAAAATAATGAAAAGCAACAATGGAAATCAATTACGAATTATGTCTGACAACTGACAGAAAACTAGGGGGCCCCTATTATGGTTCACAACTCAACTATCAAATATCGTTAAGTAGACGCTTTTCTCAAACTATCGAATGATTCAAGCGCTTGCATATTAATGTCTTAACATCTAATATTATTGAACATATACATTGGTACATATGTAGTTCCATTAATGTTGCAGTTGAATGTCGATTATCCGGGTTGCCCGATACCAAGCTTATCATGGATCATGGAAATATAACCTTAAGCGCGGTGTATTTTATTATTATTTACAATGCCATTTTTATGCATACATATACTATTTACAAGTTGGTTAATCAGATATTCGGTTAATCAATTACTCGAGTAATCAAGATTTTGATTATCCAAAACGATGATTAATCGAGTTACTTAAAATATGATTGCTCAAAAAATTCATTTTGCTCGTTAAAAGAGTTTGCTTTGGAAAATGCTTATTTTCTTTTTTACAATCTGTATATGAAAAAAAAAATTCATTTTAATTTTTGAAAACAAAAACGTTGTTTTCAAAGTATCAAGGAACTTCAACTACTTTATATTTAAAGAATACTTTGAAATGTTGATTACTCATTTTACTCGAAATGTTGATTAATCATAAAGCAAATTACTCAACAATTTTTGTTTTTGGTTAATCAAAATCTTGATTACTCGACTAACTGAACTTTTGAGTAATCACAATTTTCAATCAATCGAATAATGAGTTATTTACTTTATGATTAATTAAAATATTGAATAATCAATTAATCGCACAGCCCTAATGTACAAACATAGATGTTGCAATTTTGTTAATTTTATATTTTTCTTTTTCAAAAGGTGGCCACTAATAGCAGCGTAGTTACGGAAAGCACTAAGCACAACAAGTTGGTAGGAAGCAGTAGTAGTACGCCGATTTCAGCTGCTTCTAACTTAAACAAGAAACTGAATACGTCTTCTCATAAGCAACATCAATACCAAAATAATACGAAACACAACGCAAACAGAAAAGTGGCAAGTTCAAGTAAGCTCAACATTATTTATATATTTACATATATATCGTCACTGACCATCAACGCAAAGGGCCGGGCCCTATTTGATTAACTTAAAATATTTCAGCAGTAGGAAAAAAACCTTTAAAAGATGCTGTTCGAAAGATGCAAATAAATTCCCAACTTTTTAAGATAGGCTTAGAATTCTTGTATGACTGCATCTGCCATCAAACCAAAAAATTATGTAAAAAAAACGCATTTCCAAAAAAAAAAAAATTTAATCGGGCCTTTCTTGGACCGAAAATGTCTAAAAAAAAAAAACGAGAATACCTCAAGGTCTTTTTAAGGGCCCGAATAAAAGTGTTAGTGCCGTTTTCGCAAGTAGGTTTTCAAATTTATCTGGCTTTCAAACACATTTTCTCAGAACAAAATTTGTGTTTGAAGGGCAGAAAGGGAATTAGAAAACTGCGTTTACAATTTTTCCAACACCCTGAAAGTCACCACTCATTTATAAAAACCAGTTTCCCATGAATATGCAGACATTGCCATTTGTGTTTTAGTTTTTTTTTATAAGCAGTTTAAAGTTAAAAAAATGGATGTATAAACCAGAGTACGAAAACAAACCGAACGTATCACTAACTACCCATTCCCAAACAAGTACAAAAAGTTGTGTTCCTTTTCTCATACTGTTCCCGAGCGCTAACAATAATGGTTTCGATCAGAGATGTTGCGAATATTTGCATTCGCATCCAATGATGCGAATTTTTTGCGAATGCGAATGTCTACATGGGCAGAGAGGAGTCCCCTCTAATATTGTTGAAATGGCTCTAACAGCTCGCGTCTGTGCACTTGATAAATAACAATTTTGTTTAATTTGTAAATTTTTTATCATATATCAAGAATTGGAATTCTAGCACAGAAATCTAATATTACGTTCAAATTGGCCCCATTTAACTTGTTAAATGAACAAGAGCTTTTTGGAAAACACAATCATCCACATTGAACATTTGGAGTTAACTTTGACGGTTGTTTGATTACCAAAAAAAAAAAAATTTGAAAAATTAATTCAAAATCAAGTTCAAGGCGAATTTATATAAGGTGGTGTTACTAGCTCAGCTGAGTTTGTGTTTGTGTTTCGCCGCACCGCTTCTGATATCAAATTGAAAAATTCCCAACAAGCAAAATAAACTTAAAGAAAGTTTTTTTTTTTTAAGTTTTCAATTATAAACATTAAGCAGCTTACAAAACGTTGATTTTTTGTTTATAAAACGCTTGAAAGTAAGCGTAATATAATCGAAAAGGAACATTGGTTATAAGCGTAGAAATATAAACTTGTAATAAATGTTGAAAAGAAAGCTTTTTATAAGCGTAAAAGTGTAAACTTATAATAAAGGTTAAAAAAAAAAGTTGTTTATAAGCGAATGAATATAAACTTACTAAACATTTTCAAAAGAAAGCTTTTTATAAATATTTTTATAACCCTTTATTTAAAGATATTTCATTGAAAACTCATACATAGATTGCTTAACATCTAGAAACTAAACGAAATGCGAATTTTCGGCGGACTCATCTACTGTCGCGAAAATATAAATAGGGAATAGACATTTTAGCATACAAATTCACGATAGCACACAAAAATTAAGCATAAAAAAGTTAATCATTACATCTTGTTGCGTGCTTTGCTTTCAATTACATGCGGTTATTAGCAAATTTGGAAAAACGACATCGATGCAGCTATTTATTCCGCTTTATCGCCGCCATTTTTAATTGAATGTTAAACTAAGAAAGGATAAGGAGAACTCATCATTTGAAGACTCGAATACTCCACCGATTAGCACAGCGGGTCCTGGATTGGATTTTTTTTACCGCATCGGTTTTATTTAATTTTTTCTTTTAATAATATATTTAAAAAAACGTAAACACGTCACTTACGATTGAAAAAATGTTATACTTACTACTTCATGTCGTTGGCATTTGCATTTCATTTATAAGTTTAAGTTATTTATAAACATTCGCTCGCAAAACTTATTAAAGGTTTATTTGAAAAAAACTTTTAATAAGCTTATTATTAAATTGGCTTATTTAACGCTTATTATAGCAAACTTACTTTAAGTTATTTTTAAAAACATTTACTGAAATGCTTGTTGGACTTTGTTTTAAATTTCTACACACACTCTTACATATTTTGACAGTTTATGCCGCCGAAGCAAAAACAAAATACATGTAAATTTTTGTTTTTGTACGCCTGCTATCACCTTATATTAATTCACCTTGATCAAGTTTTTGTATTTCAATTTGTTTCGTGCGAATGTCTGCTTCATGATATTAATGCATACGGATTATTTAGATACTTCAAAATATTTAGTTCGTATGCACTATTTATCTCTGCGTACGATGAGACCTCATAACTCTATAACTAATTACTGCCTTGGCCTCTTTTTTAGTGGGCAGACATGCATACAATTTTGGCATTTTTTGATAATTTTAAATATTTTTCAGAATTGAAAATTTTTGAACTTTGGTGTGTCAAATGAAAGCTTTTGGGTCTTTCTGATTGGCCGGAGCAGAAAGCTTTCTGATACAACTCTGCGCTGAACTGGTTTTCAAACGAGTTAAATGATTTAACTGGCTCAATTTTCCAACAACAATTGCATGCGATTTAACTTGTTTATGAACATGTTTTGTTCACTTAACTGGTTCAAGCCCATTTAACATGTTTAGCTCGTCAATTTGAATGTAGTATAAAGCTCTTTTCTTGATAAATTATCAGGATTGAAAATGCTATTGACAAGCGTTTCCAAATTGAAATTTCATATGAACATTATAAATGATGTATATTAAAAATGTTTTTTCTATCATTTAAATACTGAATGTGCCGGCTGTTGAACCTAGGACACACAGAATTTATAGCCGACCCCTCTACCTACTCGGCAACAACAGTCAAGAGCTTTTTTTGTTTTATAAATTAAATGCGATGGGAGCTTTTACTTGATAAAAATCTTGATAAAATTTCTTTACAAATAATTTGTCAAGAAAACACAGAATTGGGCGGTAATCTGTCTAACCAGAGTGCGGACAATAACCAGCTTTTAGCTTCAGGCGCTAAACGGTTAAGTAGTATATCAATCAACATTGATGGGCCTTCAACAAGTACTGTTAAAAGTCTTATAAGCAACCTAGAGATACTTTTACGATTCCTCCAGCGAAAGCGAAGGCTCGTATGTATGTATCTGGAAACATTAAAAAATATGCAAAGAAAAACGAACTCATCTCGGTGAAAATCCTCTCGATTGGTGGAAAACTAAACTAAAATACGACAAATTGACAGATCTGGCCCGCAAGTATTTGAGCGCTCCAGCCGCCAGCGCGAGCAATTGTTCAGTGCAGCCGGCCTTATATACGAGCCTCTAAGAAATTGCAAAATTACTTTTTTGAAATATTATTCCCCTTTTGAATTTTGACTACTACATACATTAAAACACTGTATAGGTTAAGCACTCGTTCGATGTTTTAATAATTTATAAAAATTTTTAAGTAATAGAAACGATGACTTAAAATGATTATACCTTTTTTAATGTTATTCCTAACATTCGCATTCCGAAAATTCGCATTCCCATTAGCGAATGTGAAAAATATGACATTCGAAAGCCTAGTTTCGATTGTGGTAAGGTAGGTGGTGAGTTTTTGTTACCGCAGAACTCCACTGGCAAACACCGATGGCCTACCAACTGTAATTTTGACGAGCAATATGATTGCAAATTTTTGTGTGTGGGCACTTTGATGTCTTGAAATTAGAATTTGCCGCATGACGCCACCGGACAACATTCTCTCAATTTCGGTATTTAAAACATTTAAATCTTAAAAAAAAACTTGCTGAATAATTTCCTAAAACCTATTCATAAATAAACCAATAGGGAACATATTTTTATTTTTATTTAATATCAAAATTTCATTGGTGTTACCACCAGCACGCTTTCTTTCAAATGAAAATATGGCTGTCAAACTATCAAATTGACTGCAATAGATGTCAAGCAATAAGCGCTGACATATATTGCAGCCCATGAGAAATAGGCGGGGTCCATTGGAAATATATTTTGTGACATGGTTATCACGACATCAGTGTTTTCCTGTGGAGACAGGGCCCTTAACACGCAAATCCCATGAAGTGGATCGTGTCAACGTCAACATACGTTTACGCTAGGTCGTTGACTGAATTCGCCTTAAACGATACCGATACGTATGCTATTGGTTGTTTGCGTTCTCTGGTATAAACACCAACATTTCTGTATTTGTTCGGTATTTTGTCTAAAATTTTATATAAAAAACATGTTTTGCTATTATTAAAGTATATTGAAAGTGTTACGAAAAACCGAGGTACAATTTATTATAATCTATGGTAAACTAATGAAACTTCGACATTAATTACAAGGCGGTAAAATCAAGTTTCTCATAATTATACACAGAAAATGATAGACAATATAAAGAGAAGAGATAAATATGCGAAATCATCTTAAACTGTTCTTTGTTTATGAAAAGTGGAGAATTTCAGGGTGTTCGAAAATAATAAAACGTAATAATTATTCGAAAGTAAATCTTCGCTGTTGCACTGTTTAATAATTTGTATAAAACTAACTGTTGTAGGTACAAATATACATATACAAATGTACATACATATGTACTACAAGTGGTGGAAAAATTAATAGAAATAAAAAAAGTTGACGAGTTTGGATATCTTTCTTTTGTTTATTTAATTTTAATAATTTTTTATAAAAGTCTAAATCATTACATAAAAGCGGACATAAGTCAACATAAATCAACATTTCAGACTTTGTACTTTTTTTTTTTTTAATCAGAGGTTTTAGAAAAATTCTGGGTATGCAGTTTTCTAGTATAATAATATGCACGTTTCATTAAACACACTAAAATTGAATCGGCTGCAAAACTGCATACTCAGAATTTGTCTAAAAACTTCGATTAAAAAGATATAAAATTTAATAAGAAATTTTTTAATTTCGAGAAATGTTTTTTTTTTTTGACTTGTGAGTTAATTGGCGGTTGCCCATACGCCAGGGTATCCCTCTTCTTTACAGTTATTATTATACGATGTAGATGATTGTGGACGTTACGTCAAGAGCGCAATTGCGAGGTGGTTGCCGGAACCTAATATCGGATGTGATGCTTTTCGGGCTTATGTGATCGTAAGTTTTTCGTGAGCAATTTTTGATGGTGGTGAGAATTGAATGTGGGGGATGGGATAGGGGGAAATGAGTGAGGTGAACGGTATTAACACCTGTGATAAGTTGAGTCTTGAATTTAAAGCTTATAAACTAAAATTTTGCTTAAATTTTTGTTAAAAACTCAGCGAGCTGAGCGATTTTTTTTTTTTTTAATTTTAAATTTGTAAAACCATGTCTTTTTTTCGTTTCTGAGTGCAGATCTGTGCAAAAAGATACGTGGTTTTGATAGCCGCCCATGCTAGGTTGGTCTTTTTGCAATTTGTCTTAGTTATTATATGTGACCAATTTGTGAATTTTAGCGATGTTGGAACTTGTACAACAGCGAAGGATATTTTTTAACATAGAACGATAACTAATGTATAAAATTGTTTAGCAAAAATATCAAACGATTTCTTAGTTTTTTTTGTAACTATCATTTGAATTAATGTGACTGGCGGGGCAATGAAAAGAACTCTATTTTGCCCTTTTGCACTCAAAGATGAATTTTCGCAAAACACTTAATCTTCACGAACGGTGTTTTTGTGTTGTAAAATATGAATAATATGTACACTTTCATTTTCAATAAAAATTAGGTTTATATAATCTTCATAGAAATATTTAAAAATATTTAAAGTTGTCACTGGTAGGACATCTCTCTGTCAGGTCGTCAAAAATATGTTTAAATTCGTTAAATACAGCACTGTAGCTGGAATCAACACTGGGCGAATTGTATAAGAGCTCTCTAAAGGAATTATCGGAGGAAAATTGAAATCTCAAAATTGTGCTCTCTCCTTGCAAGTTTTACTGGGTAACAATTGGTACCGACTTGTACAAGTTTTTTGCTATGATTTTTGCTTAAATGTCCACTCAAGAAAATTGCTTAGGTAAGGCACATTCAAATGTGCGGATGCGCAGAAAAAATTGGTCCTCAAATAACTATGTGTATGCGCCAAACACGTCCACCGTCACTCGCTGATCAAAGAGGAATGTTTGAGAAATGTTTGTGAATTCTGTACAAAGCTCTAAAATTTTGCTTTGTATGATGGTTTTTATGCAATGAGTAAGAAATTATTACATGTTAAATGAGACCATGAGAACAGAAGTGGCCTAACTCGCATTGGTTTTTTTTTTACTTGAATTCCTAAAATAGTTTCAAATGTGATATTTCTAAATAAACGTGGCGTATTCCTTAAATTGATGGTATTCTGTGTAGCTTTGTACCTTAAAATTACTACCGACTTTTATTCTTAAATTTATCAAATTTGAGACTATTTTAAGTAGGTAAGTAAAAAAAAAAAAATCGGTTAGGCCAATTCTGCTCTCATGGCCTCAAATAAACATAAGAAAAATACCCAATACTCGTCAACGTTTTTTGTTTCTATTATTTTATGCACCACTGTATGTACATGTGTACCTACCTGTAAGAATAGAAGGTTTAAATATTTTTATAATCTACATTTATTAGGAAACCTTGGCCCAACAAAATCAAATTTACCCCAATCAAGCGAAGGAGTTAGTGTCGGCGTTAAGGGTTGGAGTTTGCCTAAACCAGCAGGGAAACCCCTTCATGTAAGTGCAACTAAAGAGGGCCCACTGTCGTCGGTGACAGCATATTGCTCATCCTCCACTCCCAGCGAAGCCACGAAGGATACGAACGCGAATTTCGAGTACGAAGACGAATGGGACATTGGTGGCATTCCAGAGTTGTTGGATGATCTAGACGCAGACATTGAAAAATCATCTACTGCAGCTCAAAATTTATCGAAAGTACAGAACAGTTCTGGTGGTGGCAAAAGTGAATTTGAAGCAATCACAAGTACCCTTAAATCAGCAACTAAATCCACAACGTCGAATAAAGCAAATATCGCCCACCCCGACAACCTTTTGCAAAAACCCTCACCATCGTCAATTGGCAAGTTGCTGCCCTCGCCATTGTCAAGATCGTTGACTGCATCGGTGTCGTCGTTTCCAGCGAGCTCGAATGAAAAATTTGCACTATCAACTAAATGTTCGCAAACAGTTCCACTATCCAGAAACACAAACAAATATGTGGGTGGCATCGTAGTCGATAAGTCGATAAATAATTCAGCGACATTATCCAATATTGGTAGAAAGTATCCACAACAGCCTAGCGAACATAAAAATCAACAACAAATTCAAATATCAAATTTTGAAGAACAATCTGTGAATAGCGGTCCCACCAGTAAAGTTGCTTCTGCGCCGACCAAATCACCCTCGTCACTATCACCATCGTTATCATCATCTTCATCTGCATCTGCATCTGCACTTACCGCACCATTTAGCTGTAATAGCGAAAGCGGCCAGAAGAGTAATACATTAACACTATCCACCTTTGCTGGGTTTTCAAAAGGAGGTAATCTCGTCTCGTCATTTACAAAGTCTCTCATACCCTCAGGCGCATCCGCTGGTTCCTCAAATCTTACCACCGCATTAGAAACCGATTCGCTATCGAATTTATCAAATCAATCCGCAAGCGGCATGTCATCCCAATCCAGTGGAAGCAGCAGTAATAACAGTAGTGTGGGCGGTGGAGCCGGGGGAGGTCAAGGTGGCTCCCAAGGTATTGGTGGAGGCTCTGGTGGTGGGAAATCGAATGCGAAAATGTCCATTGATCATCAGGCGACGCTAGACAAGGGACTTAAAATGAAAATTAAACGGACTAAGCCTGGAACCAAGACTTCCGAAGCAAAGCATGAAATTGTTAAAGCTACAGAACAACAACAGCAGCAACAGAATGGTTCTTTAGGCGTTAATAATTCTAGTAACTTAGATGAGAATAGTGGACTCAATACTACCTCGCATTCATCCTCGTCATCAGGTGGCGCGAGTGGCTCAGGTGGATCCAATCAAAATACGGGAAGTAGCGCTGGCGGCTCAGGATCAAATGTAACCAGCATAAGCGGCAGCAATAAAAAACATCTTAGCAATATTTCCAGTAGTAGTAGTGGTAGCCAAGGAAATAGTCACAATAGTATAAACAGTAATAGCCCGGCCTCTGGAGGTGGGTCCACCGGTACCGGGAGTAGCGGTCAAGTAACTCCTCAGAGTAACAAGCGTGGTAGCTCAGGTCACAGACGAGAAAAAGCTAAAGAAAAAACTACACATTCCAATCGTCTCACAGCAGAGAAGAATGCTTCTGCTGCTTCTGAAAAAGAAGGCTTGCCTGGTCATAGCGACAAGGGCATGACATGCCATTGCATCATTGATGCCACTAGCGGGAGTGCGACTGGTGCTTGCAGTAGCCATGCATGCTCTCGTCGTTCGGAGAGTGCAACCAATTCATCCATTACAGTTTTGACACAGCAGCGCATATGCAACACGACTGGAAATAGCAATTCTACATCTGGATCTGTGCCACCAGGTGTATTCACGCCATCGCTTGGCTCACCCGCCGGTGTGGTGACAACAGCTGCAGCAACAGCAGCATCTTTGCTCGCAGCCACATCTGTAGCATCGGCAACTGCACCACAGGCAATTGGCAGCAACAGCGCGCCAAACGCGCCTGGTCCACCGGGCAAGGACTCGACTAATTGTGGTAACATCAAAATCTCTTCACATATTGCAGCGCAATTGGCTGCAGCAGCGGCTTCGACTTCTTTTAGCAATAGTGTACCAAACACGCATGCAAACAGCTTGAGCGGAAGCGGCGAGAGTAAGTCAAGCACTTCAATGGTTCCTGTTGCGCAAGCAAAACATATGGCTCCAGGTGTGATCTCAGCGACCGTGCACCACACAATTTCAGTTCCCGCGAACTCTTCCACTAGTACAACAACGGCATCATCTAGTAATAGTAGCACATCTAACAATAATTTAGTAGCTGAAGATGGTATAAAATCTCCTCCCGCCAAGCGGGCAAAACATGGCAACACTGACACTTCCCATGCACCTGGTACTTCAACCAAGGAAATGGTTGACATCTGTATTGGCACCTCAGTCGGAACTATCACAGAACCAGATTGCTTGGGTCCTTGTGAACCGGGAACTTCCGTAACGCTTGAGGGAATCGTTTGGCACGAAACCGAAGGCGGCGTCCTAGTTGTGAATGTTACTTGGCGCGGCAAGACTTATGTCGGAACTTTGCTTGACTGCACACGACACGATTGGGCTCCACCCAGGTAAGTTGTGTAGAAATAGTAAAAGCGTACATATATATGAGAAAAAGCCATAACCTTTTGCAAACATTTGTAAGCGAAAGTAATCCTGGTACTGTATTATTGCCATTTTGAGGGAGTGCATGTTGGGCTGTGTTGATTCTGTATGGGGGATTATAAAATGCATTTGCCGGTGCTGTAATAGTATTATTATGTTGTCTTAGGTCTAAGCCAATTGTTATTGGCACCAAAGATTCATTTAAAACTTATATGAAACTTTGGGTGGTAATATTTATGGAATTCGTTAATTATTATAAACAGGACGATATATGTATCAAATTAGAGGTTATTGAATTTAGTTTCTCACGTTCATATATAATTTTTCAATAAGACTACCAGTTTTTAAGATATTAAGACAAAATTTCAAAAACTATAATTTTGCCTTGTGAATTCACAATTCTTCATTACTTCAGCAACCAAGTGAAAAATGTAAAAACGGACACGACATCCATTTCCAAGTTTTTAGGTTTTCGGATATTTATATAATATTAAAAGGACCATGGACTTGGTCACGCCGATTTTGTCAGTTTGAAGATTCGTGGTGAATGAAGTCAAAGATGTATTGTCAAAGATTAGGAATCGTTTGATGAGTTAATAGTAGTTTCAAGCACATACATACATACATTAACAAAATACAATTAGGGTGAGACACGTCCATTTTAAGTCCAGTTATGCAATTTTAAAAATTGGAGAAGAATGGTTTCATTAGTCACCGAAGAAGCACATTTTTCGCGATTTCTAAATTTGAAAAAGTGACTGTTGTTAAATGCAATGGTCTTTAACACATCGTGGGATTTACTTTTGAGGACTCTCCAATTGGACGATATTGCTTTGTATTCAGCTTGAGCGGAAAAAGTCACTCCATGGCACACTATTCTGTAATCCGATTCTTTCATTTAAAAGTTATTTATACAATTGAAAAGCAATTTTTGTAGGAAAAAAACTAGATATCCACCTAACTTTGGTAAATATTACTCGATCCGTAAGGAATAATTACCAAATTGAAGGCGGGCCTTTACAGTTACAGATTATAAAAAAAAAATATTTAAAAATAAAATAAAAATGTGGAACAAAAATTTTTTTCAACTTCCTATATTTGCAATTTTCGTATTGTATGCATAAACATAAGTAAACTAATTAGTTTTTCTAGAAGTTCTGCCTGTTCAGTGTTTCCATGCTCGTTTGCATAGACAAACTTTTCCACGGTGATGGAAAATAATGGCTTTTCTATTAGAACAACCGAAATAGTTCATAAATTTGCAAAAAACCGCAAACTATAGCTAATATTAAAAAAAAAAAGATTAGAATATTTGGACCCAGCGGTCCTAAACGCACTCCAGCCATATTAATGCTGTTCTTTACATCTTTTGAATATGGGTCAGTGCAATTATCAAGAGAACAATTAAAATTGTATTGAAAAAATATAAGTTTGAGATTAACGATAGGCTAACCCTTCTGCTGAACACATAATTTTTAACAAAAATTGGTCTTATTCGACTAGTGCGCTCAGTGTCACTCAGCGGTCGATGCGCGTGCTCTTACAATTAAAATAAGAGACTAATATTTTGCAGGCTTGTTGTTTGCTTTATGATACAATATTAGCCCAATTCGGAGTCTGTTCTACGGGAACTGGTTTCTCCCGAGAGCTCCCAGGGAGTAGCATTTTTTGAGCTCAATTCCGCCATTTAATATAAAAAATCCCCCGGATTACTTAAGCGGAAAGAAATAACTACAAAAAATTTGGCCGTTAGGTGGTGCGGGGGTCGATTTTTCATTTTTTATTCACCAATTTATTTATAATTATTTTACGATGGAAATTATTTTCGTCTTCTCATAATAATTATATAGGACTTTTATTGAAATGAAACTTCTTAGTTGAGGTCGGGGATTTAACGCGTTAAATATCTGTATCGTTCGTTCGTTCGATTTTCAAAAATAAGGTGTCAAATTAAAGGCCTTTCTTTTACGTGGTTTTAGTGTTTTCAAAAGGGTTGCCAGATGTAAGAAAATCTAATTCAAATAATGGGGCTCGGAGATATTTGCGTTTAATTTCGTGAAATCGGCTGTACGTATTACACTTCTATTAAGAGAAAACGTAGGACGTAAATCATTTCCGTTTTAAAATAAACGTCCGGAGAGACGAAGAAATAAAAGTCCCATATAATTATTAAGAGAAGGCGTATATGATTTTTATTAACCACTAAAAAAAGTACAATGATTTTTTTTTTTCGCTCACAAATTTCATACCTACAGTCAGTCAACAAAGTTTAGGTACACCGAATTTTTAACAATACGGGAGACTTTTTTTTTAATATTTTTCGCTAATTTTTTATAAAAAATATGATTAATTCTACAACAAAAACCAAAAAATCAGAGTTCCAAACCTTGTGCAAAATTAAAGAAAATTCTGCAAAATTTCATTAAAATATTACACTTTTTATTTACGCTCTCTAGGAAAAAGTTGCAGTAATAAAGTGCAAGTATAAGGAAGCTAGGCTTTACCATTGATTTTTGGGGAATTTTTTGGTTGAAGGTGTCGCACATTTTTTTCCATATAAAAAATTATCAAACATTATTTTATATGGAGAAAATGAGCGACACCTTCAACAAAAAAAAAAAAAAATGCTAGAAATCAATGATAAGTCCTAGCTACCTCAAACTTGCACTTTGTTATACTAAAATTGAATGGGCTAAAAAACTTCATACTCAACTTTTTTCTAGAGAGCGTAAATAAAAAGTGCAATATTTTTATGAAATTTTGCAAAATTTTCTTTAATTTTGCATAAGGTTTGGAACTCTGATTTTTTGGTTTTTTGTTGTAGAATTAACCATATTTTTATAGAAAATTATCGAAAAATAAAATATTTAAAAAATAGTTGCCCGTTGTGTAAAAATTTCGCTGTACCTAAACTTTATTGACTGACTGTACACATATACATATGTACAGTGGCGGATTTAAATATTTGCCGCCCCTAGGCAATTCATAACTTGCCGCCCTTTTTTCACGAAAAAAAAAAATATATATATATATCAAATATGATTGTTATTGTCAGTGCTTTATTACAATATAGTTCGTTAATAATGAAATACATAACGGAATTAACAAATTCGACATCAGCATGGATAAGGTATTCAACAAAAACCCTCTTTCAAACACTTCTTTTTCACAGTTCTTTACGTCTTGATTTTTCAGCTGCGAATTCGCGGATAATNCGCCCTAGGCTTCAGCCTATGTTGCCTGTACGATAAATCCGCCACTGCATATGTATACTTACATATATTAGCCCACTTCAAAATAAAGAAAATCCCACAATGCGACCGGCATAAGACTCAAATTTTAGCATTTGGTATTGTAATAATCCTCCATGAATATCCCCTCTCTAGTGCCATTTGAGTATTATGCATGCTCAGATTCCCTACGAAGGGTGCCCTTTGGACTGCAGCTTTTCGATGTTAAAATTTCTTCCCTCTGCCCGTAGTTTATATGGTTCCCGCAATCGAAAAGCTTAGCGCACACAGAAATATAAATTCTTCGCTTGATTGCATTCTTTTAGATTCTGTGATTCGCCAACTGAAGAACTAGATTCTCGAACTCCGAAAGGTCGTGGAAAACGCGGAAGGAGTGCTGCGCTTACACCGGATTTAAGTAATTTTACCGAAACTAGAAGTTCTGTAAGTACCTAAGGCACTTACACTGTCACACACTTTCGACTCTAACCAAATTTCAATATGATTTGTAGATATATTTCTCCCACGCGCAGGTGCATTCAAAATTGAGGAATGGTACAACGAAAGGTGGTCGTGGTGCTTCGCGAACTGCGATTAGTGCCACAAGTACTGCAAATACTACAACAATAACCAGTAGCTCATCATCTGGTAACGGTGGGGGAGCTACACCCAGTACATCACCAACAGCATTTTTACCTCCACGTTCTGAGAAGCGGAAATCAAAAGATGAGTCGCCGTCGCCTATTAACGGCGATTCTGAATGTCCTACTAATGTAGCGAACGCCAGTGGTATTCCGATCTCTGCAAGTGGCGGTGGCCTAGCTACGCAGCCCCAAAGTCTCGTCAACCCCGTGACTGGTCTTAATGTACAAATAAGCACGAAGAAATGTAAGACTGCATCGCCGTGCGCCATTTCGCCGGTACTACTCGAGTGTCCGGAACAAGATTGCAGCAAGAAGTATAAACATGCAAACGGACTTCGTTACCATCAATCCCATGCCCATGGTAGTGCTTGTTCCATGGATGAAGATTCTCTGCAATTGCCGGAGGAGCCACCCACACCGACTTCGTCACCGGTGCCTCCTTCACAAAACACAAGAACAGTAACACCAACCCCTGCAGAAGGCTCGGTATTGCCAGCTGGAGTTGTAGCGATACCATCACCAGAAACTCCTCCTATAAGCACATCAACAATACCAGCATCCACTACCGAACCACCATCCCAACCTACCGCGGCTCTGTCAACATCATCTCAATCCGCGACACAAACCACAAACCTTGAAGCTAGCATTGAGTCTGAAACTTTAGTGGGAATCGCTGCGGCTGCGACCTCCTCAGCTACTAATTCCGCCATTTCTTCTTCGATTTTGAACTCCTCTGTTCCGGTGACTGCTCCTGCTTCTGCCAGTTCGACCAGCGCGGCAATGGGTGGCATACTAACAGCATCAGTCACACAGCCACAACCACTTATGCCACAATCACAGCAGTCACATCCAGTGGCGGGCGGTAGCATTACCGCTGGTATTTCGGGGCAGGTACTCTCTCAACAGCAGCAGCAGCAGCAGCAGCAATCTGTTGGAATGCCAAATGCAAGTAATATACCCGTATTACTCTCCGAGCAGACACAGACATCGACTCTTCCTCAGCAAGTTGGTCGTAAGTATTAGATGAATTGTAGCAAACATAATATTGTCACTTTTTGCTCAATTTCTAATTACCTATTGCAGCTAAACCTGGTGTGCTGAGGTTCGGTCCTCAAAGCGATAGCCCCAATCCAGGAGCTGCATCGTCAATTTTAGCTCTCCAACAACATGCCACGCCAGGCACATCTCCGCAGGTAAACCCTTTAGCAGGACAAAGCCCGCAACGAGCACCCATGCAGTTAAATGCAAACTCAGAGAGTTTGCCACAGCCACATCAGTCGTCAATAAGTTCTTACTCCGGTTCATCGGCTTCATCAGGACAAAATTTACAAGGTAAAATTTTCATTAAATATATATATATCGTCGTTTAAAGTACAAAACCGCGTATCGTCATTCTGCAAAACCGCGTAACTGGGATTAGCTGCCAAAAATTGGATTTGCTCACACAAGCTCTTGGCTCAATCCTTATCCATTCGTCCTGAAATATACTGGCCAGGTATGCGATTGCGTTATAAAACAGAGAACCATTTTGAAATATGAGTGTTTTTACTCTCTAGAAGATAATTCACATACGCGGTTTTGCATTATCTTGATACGCGGCTTTGCAGTTTGTTGATACGCGGTTTTGTACTTTAAACGACGATATGCATGATAAAAACATGTATCATGCGTATATGTACATACATACATATGTATATACATACATAACAACGAAAAAATTCACATTTAAGGCATTTCATTGTCAACAAAAAACGCACCGGGTTTTGTAGCGGTAAAACAAAAAAAATGTCGAAAATCTCCCGGTCCTGTGGAATATGATGGCGCTGTTACCAGGGACAACGTTCAAAGTCCTGCATACAGTGACATTTCAGATGACTCAACACCAGTTGGAGAACAGGATATCTTAGGTAGTTGACTGCTCTAAATGCTAGATAGCTTGCAAGCGCTTTATTTTATTTATTTTTATATACTTTCAGATAAGTCACATCCTAAGCATTTAGATCTACCAACCAAAAAGCCCTCTGATCTTGGTGCTGTGGGTATCGGAAGTGGATCGCAAGCGATTCCACCATTGGGTGGATATGGAATGTATCAATTTTATCAGCAGCAGCAATATTTGGTGCCCCCTCCTTCTTCCGATCAGCAACCTTCGCAGAATCCTAAGCAAGGATTGCTGCCTTCCACTCTCGTACAGGCACCATTAACGCTTCCCTCTTCGCAGTCCCAACAACAAAGCTCGATGCAATCATCGCTTCTTATGCAGCAGCAGCAGCAGCAGCAACAACAACACCAACAACAGCAACAGCAATCGCCTTTATTGGCAGACTATAACAAAAGCAAAGATCCGCCGTTAGACTTGATTTCAAAGTCATCGCAGCAACAACAACAAGTTGTTGGACATCAACCACAAATGCAGAGCCAAGATGGTGCTGGCAATCAAAAAGACAACAACACTTCGGGCCAACCCCCACAGGCATCAGCAAATTTGGGCAACGTTGGGCCACCGAATAATGGCTTGCCACCAGGCATGGCAGCTATGCAATCGTTAGGATCATCAGGCGTTGGACCAGGCAGCTTGCCAACACCGTCGCCTGCCAAACCGTTATCCCACTTTTACCCCTTTAAGTAAGAACTAATAAGAAAATACGATTTAATCCAATAACAATTTTTCATCCAACCATTTAGTTACATGGCCCCAGGTTATCCTTACAATGTAGAACCCAACTATGGGCCTGTGTCAATAGTGGCGTCCGATGACACCGTAAAATTGGGAAACCATGGAAATTTACCAAGTTCACAACCACAAAACACCGGTCCTCCGCATTCGAGTGCGAGCGTCGTTAAAGATGAGCGTTTAAAGGAAAGTCCCAGTCCCCATGAATGTTCTAAACAAATGCCTCAGCAGCAACAAGTAAGTTGAATTTGTATAACAGCCAAGATCTGTAGGGGTTGCAAAGTCCACTACAGACGAATGCGTCTTTAGGTACACTGCTAAACTGCAGTAGGGTTTTATTTCATTTTGGTGTTAATATGTTGTTGTCTGTTAGGCCTCTAACGGTAGTTAATACAGACACACCGACAATAAATTAAGACACATACGATCGAAGAAATCGGTTATCAGGTCCTCAGCCAGTTGATGACCACTGTCGTCATTCATGATTTGTGGAAATAGGCGGGCAAGCCTGTAAAAAAAATGGGAGTGCCATCGGCGAATTATCTGAGTGATTGACAGTCACCAGTCCGCTATCAAGATCAAACCTCGAAATTAGGAAGAATTGAACAGGGGGTCCCACCGGGTAGTATCCTATCCCCACAATCAATCAACTTCTACACCTCGAAGCTCAATATTGGCGGTCGACAATGGCTTTGATGATGACTTGTGAAATGAAATTATCTGCACGGAGCCTTTACCTTAAACAATCGCCACCTTTATCCACCCTTGTCCCGTGAATGCTGCCATCGCAGTTCAACCACCGCCAATCACATACCAATACATACAGTTCATTCTCTAACAAAACTGATATAAACCCAAGTTGTAAACTTATTAAAAGATTACAAAAAAATGCAATAAATTTTCACCTCTAAACTATGTACTAAAAAATTCTAACACTTCTGAGAAAAAAGTTTGAAATTTGGCTGAAAATTTGTTGCATTTTTTGTACTATTTTACAAAGTTTTAAACTTGGGTCTATATGAGTTTTGTTAGAGAATGAACTGAATTTTAATTGAAAATTCTTAAAAATAAATAATTACTGTATCAATGTTTTGCTTAATCTTACCATTTTTCCGCTCGTGTCTACTCTACGAAATCATAAAAGAAATTACAGGAATCTAAAAACTTCTACGCGCAACCGATTGTAAGAAAGACACATTTTTTTAACGTGGAATCTCTTGCTCAACGGCGCCACACACATGAAAATCTGTTAAAATTTCAACCAATAGCCTTGTCTGTGGCTCATTTTAAACCCACTCAGCTCACACCGCTGGCACTACTCGCTAGGATTTAGTACAATAAACTTAATTTGATATCTTGAGATTATTAAAACGGACTATGAAAATAAGTTTTAACTGAAATACTGGTACTTTTTTTAGTTGGTTTCGTCAAAACTCATCAAAAGCGAACCAATGGCAAAGCAGGAGATAAAGCAAGAACACAATTCTAATGCTCAATCTCAACAGCAACAGCAGCAACAACAACAACCGCCCCAGCAACAACAACAACAACAACCCCAGCAACCGCACGCATTGCATCCGAAAGACTTACAAGGATTGGGAACATATCCAAATATATATCAACGGCATCCAATGTCTTTAGCCGCCCAACAGCACTTATCTCGCGAGGAAGAATTAAGAAGGTGAAAAAATTCAGAATATACATATGTATTAGATGAAAATTACATTGGGTTTTATAACTTCTTGCCTCTTCAGATATTACATTCTTTCAGACGAACAGCGACGACAAAATGCCGTTGCCGCTTTACGAGCAGTTCAAGCGCAGAATCCTTCCAACAGCGGGCCACCTGGATCTCTGCAAAATCAAGTGCTGACGCAACATAAGGAAGATACCACCTCTTCAGCACAGCACCAACAACAGATGGCAATGGTGCAACAACAGCAGCAACATCAACAGTCTCAAAAATCGAAATCGCAGTCTTGCTCCACCAGTTCTAATGTGAATGCAGGTAGTGGCAAAGCAACAAATTTGACGAAAGAGGTGTCTAAGCAAAAACAAGAAGAAGACGTGAAAATCAAACAGGAGGGACAGAAACCAACAATGGAAACTCAAGGACCACCACCCCCACCCACATCACAATACTTTCTACATCCTTCCTATATTGCGCCAGCACCCTTTAGCTTCGATCCGAATCATCCCATGTACCGCAATGTATTAATGTCAGCAGCTGGGCCCTACAATACAGCGCCCTACCACCTGCCCATACCTAGATATCATGCGCCTGAGGATTTGTCACGAAACACCGGAACAAAAGCGTTGGACGCACTTCACCATGCTGCCAGTCAATATTACACCACACACAAAATACACGAATTAAGTGAGCGTGCATTGAAATCGCCCACAAGCGGTAGCAATAGTGGCCTTGGGGGTGCGGTCAAAGTCAGCGTATCTAGTCCAAACGTGGGCATACAGCAACAGCAGCAGCAGCAGGCCATGAATTCCGGCGGTGTAACTGGCCCGGGCAGTGGCCCAAATGCCGGACAAAACGCGCCCAATAGCGGTAGCCACTTATCTGGCGCAAATCAGTCTTCTGGTGGCAGCGGAATTCCACTAAATCTACAGCCTCCGCCGACTGGAATGAGTGGTCCTACAAATAAATCTGATGTACTAAACCAAAAGGTGTTGAGTGGTCCAGGAAGTCAGGGCGGCAATTTAACAGGAGGCCCTCTTAGTATCGACTCACATAAGCAACAGAGTGGCACAAGTGGACCGAACAGCGGCGGTAATATCGGCGGTGGTGGCGCTCCTGGGCCAAATGGCGCCACCACAGATTCACGCAGCCCACCGCCGCAGCGGCATGTACACACCCACCACCACACTCACGTCGGCCTGGGGTACCCGATGTACACAGCACCCTATGGTGGTAAGTTTTATTGAAGCATCTACAAATAGTAATTAATGGATGTAAATAATTACAATTTAGCTGCAGTATTGGCAAGTCAGCAAGCTGCTGCCGTAGCTGTGATAAACCCTTTCCCTCCTGGACCAACCAAATGAGAAACACAGAATGAGAAGAATTCATACAACATGAAAACATAATGAATTTATGTTCAGAAAATCGCAAACCTATTGCAAGTGAATTCATGGAATTTATCTTATAACAATTATTTACTGTAAGATAAGTCCAACATGAATCAAAATTACCGAAATATTAATCACTGCGAACGCGAGAAGCAAAGAAACCCAACTAACATGGTAGTATAGAATTGTATTTTAAGCATTTAAGGAACCTGCGAATTAACATTATCGGCATGCGTTTGAGATGTATTGTAGTGATTGTCTGATTAATTACTTATATAGCCTTCAGCTGGAAGGAAGGAATGTGTTTATGCTACAGCTGTTGGAACAACAACAACAATGTATTTATAACAGTACAAGAAGGTCCAGTAGACAACAGGCAAGTAGTGATAATCGGCAGGGGCAGGGGCAGGGTGGGGCGCAAGGTGTGAATTCGTTAACTAATTTAAAACAGTTTAATGGCATAGGTTGCATTATCAATTGAAATTGAAGAATGCTGCTCTTAAGTAACTAATAGTATCATAAAATCTAATTGCAATTAAAAGAGTTAGTATGAAAATCAGAGATCACAAATAACAGTTAACCCCCGTGAAAAATGCTTTTTACAGTGCGATGCGCATTCTTTTATTTTACAGTTGACAACTGGCATTTATTTTCGCAATTGCAATTTTATCTCTCGCCTGGTAAGATTTAAAAATGCGATACATTTTCAGTGGTCACGTTTTAATTATTTACAAAGGCAAATAAATTTCGGTTGTGCAATATGGCCGACATTGTGGACTAATATTCGCCCTTTCGATGATTTACTTACTATTTTGTGCAAAAATTCCGACTCATTTTGCTGGTTCTTTATTAAGTGAAAGTAAATGTATTGATTTAAATTAAATGCTTCTGAACTATTCGAGTTTTCTCGAGACCTCAAGAGTTTATCGGGCCCGCTCAGGATTTTTGGGAACTTTTCAGGCTTACGGGTTTTTTCGTTATTTTTGGAAACCTTTTCCGGATGCTTTATTTTTCATGCTGTTGACTGTGTAAATGCAGTTCCAAAAGAAACCCATTCCCAATACCTTTTTAGTGCCAAGATGATTTCAAGGATTGAAGGAGGAACACGCTACACACACAAAATACACAAATTTCCCAAATATTTCAATTTGATGTTCGACAAAACAAACCATTCGCCAACGGTAATAGAAAATCATTGTCCTCACCAAGTCGTGCGAATGGAAAAAATTCTTTCGACGCGCGAAGAATTTTGTGAATACTTGAACGTGATAAGTGTTATTTGCGAACTCTGATAAAAATACATATTTACTACCTATATAAAATGATGCAAATTTGCGATAAATCTCTGAAATCAAGAAGTTTGATAATTAGATATAAATATTAACAAAAAACATGAAACATATACCTATATACATATAAAAAAAAATCTAGAACAATGTAATTTAATTATTTCACAGTTATCGATATAACTTTTAAAATAAGCCAACGCATATGGGCATTCCTTTAGATATCAAATTAATCCTGCTCAACCGGAAGATGGATTTAAACGAAAACAGAAACGAAATACGCGCATTTGTTGAGCAGAACCCCAAGGCGGCTAAAGTCAATTTATTTTTTTTTTAAAGAAAAGTTTTACACTGCTTGCGTTTACACCATCTTCACCTCTCGCAAATAAAAAAAAAATAAATTGGAACCTAAGTGTTTGTTTTTTTGAATTCCGCCCATCGAATCCTCGAATACAAAAAACTGCAAAACTTTTTGACGCCATCTTAACTTTTTTGTCCCGATTGATTTGCGATGTATTTCATGTTGCATTTGGTTTGAATTGATTCTTATTGCTTTTTTGCCACTACACAAAAAGAAGCTATATTTGAATTTGTATTATCTACTTACGTATGTAGTCAAGTGTGTAGCTAAGGGTTTGCAAATCATATTTTCGCTTAGCGATGGAAACATCCTCAATTATGCGATCACTGAATACAAAAACACCCAAATATTTGACTAAAAGTACTCATAGCTGTATATTAATACTGATATAGGATATACATACATATTAGAGAAAACCTTTACTCGTTTTAGAGCTTATACATAAATTGATATGCGATAGTTTAGATTTACCTGTGTATGTATACATATGTACATATATATGTATGTGTAGCTGCTCTATATTTTGTATTTTATATTTTATTTAATTTTTTGGCATAAATGTTATTTCAAAAACCCTGTGTATTATAAATACTAACTAAGAGAGATGCTACACAACGGGGCAAGAGCATAGGGCCTATTTAAAATCATAAAATTTATTGAGAGTACATAACAGTAACATAAATCAATGTTTTCCATAAAACAAAGGTTTACATTGTTTTTGGTGCCTAACACCGGTCTTTCTCACCTGCTTTCATTTACCAAATGAAGTGTCAGTGATTTTAAACATTTTTGAATTCTTTTTTTTTTAATTGTAATTAGTCTCCACAACACTCTCATACCAATGCTTATAAATGTATAATATATTACTATAAGGACACATTCTACAATTTAGAAATCTAACTCGATTTGTGTAGTGAATAAATGTTAAGATAAAAATATATATTCTACGGAAATTATCCGCATATTGTATGAACATACACATATGTCTAACTAAACATGTAAGTTATTGTGAAAGAGTTCAAGCACATTTATGGACCTAAATTTTAAGCATAAACAATACCCTAAGATTCGTTATACATGTTAATCAAAGCGACGGACAGAAGAAAAGGGCTTCAAACGCTAAAGTAATATAGGAGTATAGTTTTCAACAAAAAAAAAGAACAAAAACAAAAAAATTAATAAACGTATTTATTTAAGCAAAAAAAATATAATTACATAAAAAGAACCCACAATTCTGCGACAGTTCATTGATAAGTAAATCAATAATGGTAGAACATAAGTAACACTACATATACATTAATGCAAAACAAAAACAAAATATATATATATAAAAGAAATAAATTTTTTATTATAGTCAAAAATCTATAGTTTTTCCTCTTTTTTTACGTTTTAAGTACAATTACGACCAACAGCAATACTAGAAGAATGCAAATCTGTCTATTAGGGCAGTACCGATTCCCAAAAAAGGCTGTGTTTTAATTTGTGGGCGCCCAAAATGATTGTTTAACAAATTTGTATGTGGTATAAGGGAAGGTTTAAAGCTATTTCTCTGATTTGCCCATATATTAGATATGTACCTCTTATACTTAGATATGTATGAAACATCTTATACAGTGTCGGACAAAATATTTGCAACTGGAACACAGCCTTAGAACTTCTTTCTTTTACATAAGAGAGAGAACTTATGTATGTATTTTAGTAACTTATGTTAAATCTCTCTTCGGCTATACTATCTCTAGCACTAGAAATACATATTTAACCTTAATTTGGCTGCCCTAACATTTAGTTCTTTTGCGTCGTTTTTGCCCAACATTTTTGGGTGAAACACAACTTTTCTCAGTAATTGTACTTCTAATGCAGTTTTATTTAAAACGAAACAAAAAGAAACAAACTTGAAAAATATCGCCAAAATTTATACATACAATATACATATGTATGTATTAGACTAATTAAAAAAAAAAAATCGACTCTTCAATGCCTCAAAAGATGCCTGTTAAAAAATGTGATACATATTTTTGTATGAAATTAGACGATCTACGAAAAATGTCTCTTTTTCATATCCATGAATTTTATTTTTTTTTGTATTTTTTATAATTCGTGTCATTAAAAAAAAAAAAATTTAACAAAGAAATATAAAAACGTTGAAGAAAATTGAAGCAAGAATGATAGACTGCAATATAGCGAGAATGTCAGTTGTGACAGAATAAAACATAACCAAAGATCATAGAAAACAAGGATGCTGGCTATGTTTACGGCTACCTTATATTCTATTTTCTTTGAGATAAAAAGAGATTGCTGCCACGTTTGTCCGAAAAATAGTTTTTGGGCCAGAGTAAAAAGAGACTCCAATTAATCGGGATTTAATCGCTACAAGTGTGAGAAATCGGGAGATCAATTCATACGTACATTTAATTTAAAATGGCCCCTATTATGAGTTGAATTCGATCCTCGACTGTGATCGAAGGTGCTGATCGAACGAATTTTCCTTTGGTATTATGGCGCTCATTCGATGAAGAATAGCGCTATTGTGAATTTCGCTCGTTTAGGTTGTTCACAATAGTATATTTTTCACCGCTGAGAAGCTTTGTTTTGATATAACTAGCACCACATAAAGTAAAAAAAGACAAATCCGAAAATAGTTTAGTAGGAAATTATTTTTTATTAAGGTTTTTATGGCATTACCAAAGAGCGAAGAAAGCAAAACTTTAGTTGTTGTTCTTATAAATAATTTTTATTATTAATAATTTGTTAAAATCATGATCCTCATTAATAACAAACTAAATATCATCACCAGGGAACGGATTTTTAGGACCTAAAAACCTATAAAAAAAAAGGCAAAATAAAATCACGAAATAGGCTAGAAAAGGCAAAATAAAATAGCGGCAAATATCTTCAATGCAATTTCCATAAAATCCGTTCCCTGATCATCACTACCATTATCATAGTTATCCTCATCACTATTTTCACCATCAACATCATTTACCTTACAGAAGTACTACTTTCAAAATATTTCTTCATAGAACAGATTAATTCACCCACGTTGCCAAGTAATGTAATAATAACTGTTTCGTTAATTGTTCATGAAAAAGTAAACATCATTGTCCTTTATAGGGAATTTTTTATATATTAATGAATTCGCATTGTACAAATTTTCTTTACGATTTCGTTAAGCTTAGAAAATAGTTTAAAAAATATAATCTTTAATAAAAACATTCATCATCTTCGCTTGCGTCATTGTCATCGCTATCAACATTTTCATCATCACTATATAGTTCTATAATTATCAAATGTTTTGCTTCTTTCGGCAAATCCTCCAATTTTTTTTTTGAGGTAGTTTTCTTATACTTGATATAACAGGGTCGGAACTGGTAGAAGTTATAGTTACTATTACGGAGGTCACAACTTCTCCTCATCAGACTTCATCATCGAGTTCACTGGGACTTGAACTCACAACCCCGGCGTTCAAAGCCAGTGGCATTACCCACTGAGTTAAGTTTGCCATGTAAACTGTTGTGGTTGCTTTTTCCACTTTTTCATTTTGACAACCCAACTACAATCAGAGGCAAAGACTTTGTTGCTATTTAGACTTGATCATGTGGATGTTGTTGAATAAAAATAAAAATAAAAATTTTATCAACGGAATAAAAAAATCCGATTTTTGGAGGCATTTTAAAATCGGTCTAGCTCAAGTAATAAATCTTATTTTTACAGAAATATTTTGGGGAAGTCTTATATCTTTTTATAATTCCGGTGGAAAACCCGCAGCTTTTATTGGTGATGCACCCTAATGTCACCTGAAAGGAAAAAGACGTAACAACATCGTAAATGAAATGGGAAAAGTGGTGACAAATATTAAAATTTTTCTTTTTCATAAAATTATGCGTTGTGACTTTTTGCATTTCAACGATGATGTTTGTTGCATCTTTTTGCATTTCAGGTGACGATATGTACATAGATATCTTTTCCTCCATTTAAGCCCCGTGTGTATTGAGACTGAACTGTCATCACGGGTTGCAAGTTTACTTCTTAAATCATATTATATATAAATAGGCAATCATGTTTCCTTTACACCCCTTTTACGGCTAAACTATACTCCTAAGGTATAAACAGTTATATATCATTAGAAAGGTATTTCGATAAAATTTCAAATCAGTTTAAAATAGAGCGAAAAAATCAATTCAAAAGTCACACCAATACCAATGCACACATGTACATGGTTGGGGCGGAAATGCCCCCTAAATGTATGCTTTAATATTGATAGCGAATTAAAGAAACGTGCTAAGCAGCAGTTCAGGAATAAAATGTATGTATGTATGTACATGAATAGATTAGACTCAAACAAGGAAGAAGGTAAAGAAATAAGATTTAGATAGAGGTGAAAAAAGGGATAAAAAGGAAATACAACTGAAGAGTGTGCGATGTTATATTGTGGTGTGTTATGCTTCATATGTTATGTTATTTATTCTTATGTTATGGTTATGTTATTTTATA